TTAATTTTTATTTGGTATATGGTAAATTGTGAAACTTACAGGTGAAAAAAATTACTGAAATAAAATATCTAAAATTATTTAGGTAAAATAACATTAATATCGTATTGGTTTTTAATTTTTAGACAAATTGCAAATAGATTTGATGTAGCAGAGAGTACAAGCCACGCAATAGTGAATAACTGTTTAATAGCTTTGAATAGTGTAGCTGCTAAAATTATTGTTTGGCCATCTGGCCAAGCTGCCACAGATAATTTGAATAAATTTAATTTACTTCGTGGAGATAATTCATTTCCAAATGTTTTCGGTTGTATTGATGGATGCCACATAAATACACTATTTCCATGGGAAAAGAGAACAAAAATGCCAAAACTGGATAGAAATATGTTTTGTAATCGAAAACAAGTGCCTACCATAGTATTACAGGTATGTACCTATTAATAGCTGGCAGGGGCAGGGTTACACTGGGGCAAGGGTAGGCTGGTGCCCCCAACATTTGATTTTGCCTCTCCATTGTCCCCCCCCCCCTATAATTTAATGTTGAACATTTTAATCTAATACTGATATTTAGAAATATTGTACTTGTGGATAAATTTAATTCAACTGTAATAATAATATAAATAATAGTTTATATTCTACTACTAGGTTTAAATTAATTAATAATTTTATATTTATTTAGGGAATCGTTGATGCAAATCTAAAGTTTATAGATGTTTTTGCTGGTTGGCCTGGACGTACACATGATGCACGGATTTATCGTTGCAGCAGTATTGGTCAGGTGATCATTAATAATCCTTGGACCATTCTACCACCAACATGCCATATTCTGGGAGATGGTGCATACCCATTGACTGAAGGTCTAATGGTACCTTATAAAGATAATGGGCATTTAACCAGACAGGAAAAAAATTTTAATAAGACATTGAGTAGTACTCTAATTCTAATTGAGCAGGCGTTTGGAAAATTAATTTGCAGATTTAGGAAATTAAAGTATGTTTAATGAAACTTCATGTACAATGTACATGGATATAATAAATAAATCTTTAAAAATTAAGTAATACATTTAATTTTAAATTTCAGGCATATGGATATATATAAAAAAGATGTTTGTGGAAAAATAATTACAGCTGCATGCTGCTTACACAATATATGTATGTCAGTAGGCGATGATTATATTGATTATGATCCAATACCATCAGAAGAAACTATCGAGGAAAATGAAGAGGAAATTATGGGTGGCATGACTAAAAGAGATTTTATATGTAATTCTTTACAAATAAATGAATATTTATAAATAAAAGCAAAAAAATTAGTTAAATAAAAACATTTTGTTATTTAATTAAATAATTACTTATGGTAATAAAAAACAATTAAGTAACAGTATTAGTTTGCAATGAAAAACATAATAATACTTAGACTTTAACAAAAATAAATAATAATTTTAAACTAATCAGTTCTTTTGATTAAGTTT